ATGCATACCGGTATTCTGCCGCCAGCGAGTGGCGTTAGCCACCTTCAAAATAAAAGCGCCTCCACTAATGCATAAACGTCATTTGTTTGGGTTAAAAGAAATTAGTAAAAACATAAAATAAGTACTTTATTATTTTATTGTTTATTGAACATATAGAACATACAATACAATAACAGATTGACAAAAGTGAAGGCAAGTAAAAATTATATAAAGAAAAGACAAGAAAAATAAAGACAGACATTCTCACAGTTTTTTGTTCAAAGGAGTAGGAAGAAGTAAATAACTTATCTAGTCCTACCCCTTGTTATGTAAAAGTATATGAATTGATCTTTTTTCAATACAAAGAAAAAAAAATCTACATATCATCAAATACTTTTACCCTTATGTGTACTGTACTTGCAGCGATTTACTCATCTTCAGGTCCGTTTTGAAATTACTCCACAGATTGACACCTATTACTGATACACACCTTTGCTTGATGTTTGTTCTTGTTTTGGATTTTTTTGTATTGGTTGGTACCCCTTAAATTGTAACAACTATCTCTAATTTCAAAAAGCTTCTGGCTTTCTTGGCTGTCGGGTAATAATTCACAGAGGAAGAACAAGAACTCTCAGAACAGCACCAATAAGCGTTCTCAAGTGGAGATAGAAAATAAAGTCAATGGTAATTCTACATCAGTTTCACTCGATATTAAAAAAAATCATTAAAACAATCAATCTGGGTGATTGCGCAACCACACCAGGTTGTCGACACACTAGGGCACACCAGGTATACAACCACAGTACTGGCATTCAGATCGAATGTTCCATTACCAATTAAAATGCCTCTCAAATATGACATTTTGAGCTCCTCTCCTTATTTCAAAAGATTCTTAAAAATGAATTTCAGTTATCCCTCAATCAAACCAGGCGTGTGGGACACGAGAGCACTCCAGGTATCCAACCAGACCACCCTCATTCGGGTCTGATGTCGGCCTCTGAAAAGTGACAAGATGGCCTGCGTTCTGACATGACCTGCATTCTAACATGTTGATCTTTTCGCCCATTTTTAGAACATCCTAAAAGAAGGAATACAGCACCCCGGCTCTCCACCCAGACCACCCTCGTCCGGATCCGATGTTGCATTTTGAAATAAAAGGCCTCTGAAAACTGGCATGTTGACCTGATTTCTGACAAGTTGGCCTGTAGGTCTGGGGATAAGTACAGCACTCCGGCTATCCAACCCGACCACTGTCGTTCGAATCCGATGTTGCATTTTGGAATAAAAGGCCTCCGAAAAGGGAAAATATGACCTTATTCCCGACAAGTTGATTGGAACGCCTAACATGTTGACATTTTAAACCGTTTTCAAAAAATTCCTAAAAATTGAATCTTCGTTATCCCGTAAAAGCTGTCGCTGTAGAAGTAACTACAGCCCTCCGGCTATCCAACCCGACCACTCTGGCTTGAATCTGATGTTGCATTTTGGAATAAAAGGCCTCTGAAAAGGGAAAATATGACCTTATTCCCGACAAGTTGATCTGAACGCCAAACATGTTGACATTTTAAACCGGTTTGAAAAAATTTCTAAAAATTGAACCTTCGTTATCCCGTGAGGGCTGTAGGTCAGGGGATAACTAGAGCACCCCGGCTATCCAACCCGACTACTTTCGTTCGAATCTGATGTTGCATTTGGGAATAAAAGGCCTCCGAAAAGAGAAAATAATGCCTTATTCCCGACAAGGTGATCTGAACGACAAAACATGATGACATTTTCAATCGTTTTGAAAAATTCCTAAAAATTTAACCTTCGTTATCTCGTGAGGGCTGTAGGTCAGGCGATACCTACAGCACTCCCGCTATCCAACCCGACTACTTTCGTTTGAATCCGATGTTGCATTTGGGAATAAAAGGCCTCCGAAAAGGGAAAATATGACCTTATTCCCGACAAGGTGATCTGAACGCCAAACATGTTGACATTTTAAACCGTATTTAAAAAATTCCTAAAAATTGAACCTTCGTTATCCCGTGAGGGCTGTAGGTCAGGCGATACCTACAGCACTCCCGCTATCCAACCCAACTACTTTTGTTCGAATCCGATGTTGCATTTAGGAATAAAAGGCCTCCGAAAAGGGAAAATATGACCTTATTCCCGACAAGTTGATCTGAACGCCTAACATGTTGACATTTTCAACCGTTTTGAAAAAATTCCTAAAAATTGAACCGTCGTTATCCCGTGAGGGCTGTAGGTCAGGGGACAACTACAGCACCCCGGCTATCCAACCCGACCTTATAATAATAAGGGAAATAATGACCTTATAATAATAATGGCATATTTTCCCAATTCAGAGGCCTTTTATTCCCAAATGCAACATCAGATTCGAACGAAAATGGACGGGTTGGATATATATATGTATGTATATCTAGCTGACTTCAGTGTTATAATTTTTTCATCGAGCATCTTACTTGTTTTCAACTTTTGCATTGATGTTCTCAAGTATTTGCCCACAACGATACGATTGTAAACTTGGCTCCATATGTCTCGAGATTGATAAGAAATGAATTTATGTTTTGTTTTGTTTTTTTAAATGCCAAATGAGGCGTTGTTGTTGTTGTTGTTGATGATGATTATGTCATTGTTATTTTTTAATAGACCTCAATTATTAGGAACCGTTTAGTGGGGAAAACAAAACAAAACGTGAACAATAGAGCAGTTGGTGGAATGCAAAACACACTTTGACTTTTCTGTTTCATGTCAAACTGGGATCACTGTGCTGTTGTGTCGATGAGACAGGGACGAACAGGTTAGTCCAGTAGCATTAAGGAGGAGCAAGTGTCATGAGTACACGCCTTGAAACCCTCTTTTCTTTCTCCCCCAGGTACTCAGCACAAGTATCATTCTTCACGACGTCACAGGGATTCGGATATAGAGCGGCGAAAGGTGAGTTTTACAATAATATTTACAATCCTGTTAGATGACGTTGCCCGCAGAAAATCTCATCTTCACAGAAACATAAGCGACTCGTATCAGCACGCCATTGTCAATTTGTTAAACGGGCTCTTCGTAGATTGTTTCATCAGCTGTTTGCTAACGCCATGTTCACGGAAAAGTAACTTAATTTAGGATTTGGAGAACGCCTCCAAAATGATTGATCTATACTCGTGGTCCGCATTCGTCTCGGCTAACGGTCATGTGAAGAAAGACAACGACCATTGTTCGATATTGCATTAGTAGTTGTACTAAGAATAAATCATTTAAAATTGTGGGCAATTGAACTTAATTCACACAGTTGCATAATTGTTTCTTGATGAGACATCCCCACAGTGCATAAGAATAAGACATCACAAGTACATACTTGATGAATTTGAATTACAGCCAAGTACGTGCCAAGTGAAAAATGTACCACCTGCATAAAATGGCAAAACGAAAGTGTGACCTCACTGTCTTAATCCAATCCTAATTTTCTGATTGGAATTTGTGCTCATCGGTTTGCACATTTTTAATCTAGTATTTAAAGAGCATGTACTTTACACATTTTTTTTGTCTAAGACAGGGGTGTCAAACTCATTTTTTGTCGCGGGCCACTTCGGAGTTACGGCTTCCCTCGGAGGGCCGGTGCAAAATCTCAATATTATTTATTACCATTGACAATTTGACATTTCAGCACAGATTTCAGCAAGACTCATGATAGTTGACACACATGATTTGCTCCCGCGGGCCACATAAAATGACATAGGGGTCCGGATCTCGCCCCCGGGCCTTGACTTTGACACCTGTGGTCTAAGAATTATAAGGCTGTGATTGATTGCAAAATATTAAAATTATGTTTTTAAATATGTGTAGTAAATTAATGGTGGTCATATTTCTAGTTCATAGTACAGTAGAGTAATCCCTCGTTTATCGCGGTTAATGGGGACCAAAACCACCCGCGATAAACGAAAATCCGCGAAGTAGCGTCCAATTAACATAAACAGGTTAAAAATAAATAAATATATATATGGCTACGGCCAAATACCTCCAGGCAATAAATAGCTATGCCCTGCCAGTGATCAGATACCCTGCAGGAATAATAAGGTGGCCAAAGGAAGAGATTCAGACCACGGACGTTAAGACCCGAAAGCTCCTAACCATGCATGGAGGGTTCCATCCCAAATCCAGCCCTCTGAGACTGTATGCAAGCCGAAAGGAAGGAGGCCGGGGACTAGTGAGTGTGAGAGCCACTGTCCAGGATGAAACATCCAAGCTCCATGAATACATCAAGGAGA